TTAGGTTTACATCATGCAAATTCCCTCTAGTATTATCCAGAGACAAACTTTGCGGTCAACATACATGGATTCAAGTCCCAAATCTAATACCGTCTAGCTGTGTTACCATAGGCAAGCCACTTAACCTCTCTAAACCTCGGTGGCCCCCTCTCAAGATCTATCTTGCGTTGGAAACGCTCACTCATATTAATTTCCTATGCCTCTTATCACTGTGTCCCTGTTGGCCTGCTAGTGACTGTTCTAGGACTTCTCTTTTAAAAAAAAAAGTTAAAATTAAAAACTGACATTTGATATGTACAAAAGGATATAGATAATGGATACATGTATATGTTATAAAGCATAATTTAAGAAAAACCTCAATTTAAATTACTCTTTTAAAATTAGAACATCACAGTGCTGTTGAAGCTATCGTGTACTTTTCCACAATCTCGCACCCCTGCTGTTCTAGGACTTCTAAACTCTTTTCTAATTGTCCCATCCCACCCTGCCCCATCCCCACTCTGATTAAAGGTAAAGACCATTTGGAAGGAACATTTCCAGAGTCTCTTCACCACAAGGTCTCTCTTTATGCTCCTGCCCTTTGAGTCTCTCTTCCCTCCCCTCTCAAAGGAGCACCCCACGAACTGAGCAAAGGAGTTTGGACTGTGACTTGTAAACAGGGCGCACCTGTCTGGGGTTTTGATGCAGGGGCACAGGGACCGCTATGATGAGAACAGCTTGCCTCTTCCTTTGAGACCGGAGAGAAGGGTGAAGGGTGCGTGAGGTCCTGAGCTGGTACTGATCTTCCTGCCCTGGCGGTGGTCATGGGAATGGAAAAGGACATCCTAGGCAGATGTAATAGAGGAAGACTTGAAAGAATTTGGTGGCTTAATTGACGTGTCCAGGAATGGGGAACAGGGCAAGGGGGAACAGGAAGAGTAAAGATCACTTTCAATTTGTTAGTCTGACCGATGGTAACACAGAAATAAGGAAGTCACAAGCACTCCCAGCCTTGGAAGGAAGATGCTGAGTTCAGTTTTGTCAAGTTGGCAAGAAGGCTGGGGGAATCCCCTGGAGACAGCTGGAGGTGAAGCTCCAAAGAGAGTGTAAGATTGAAGTTAGAGATTTGGGCATCGCTCAGAGACAGTAGTTGGAACTATGTAAATGACAAAGGCTCAAAGATCAAGGCACAGAAAGAGAACAGGAGAACCTTGAGCACTAAAGGAAGTGGCTATAGGTTTGGGTATGTAGGGGCAGTGGAAGGAGTTGAGGCCGGAATGGCACAAGGTCCATGGGCCTTCTGTTCCAGGGTGAGGAACTTGAACTTTACTTACAGACAACTGGAACTTATCGAAGGTTTTTAAACTGGGAAGTGACATTGTCAGCTTTGTGTTTCAGAGAGACATGTGCTTTATTGGTGTTTAATTATTTTTTAAATAAAGAAATCCATGATTGGAAGAATTATTGAAGTTGAGAACGACTGGATGTAGGAAGACCAGTTAGAAGGCTGCTGCAGGAACCCTGGTGAGAGGTGATGGTGTCCTGGACTCCAGCAATGACAATGGGAGAGAGAGGAAGGGGACCGTGTTTAGGCGATTCAGGAAGCAGATGCACTGGTTAGGTAAAGGAGATGAGGTGAGAAGGAATGAAGACTGGCGGCCACATTTCTGGTTGGGTGATGTAGTACATTCGCTGCGGTAGAGAATAAATGAAGAGCGGCATTCTTGTGAACAAGATGGCATGTTCTACTTTAAGTACGTTGAGTTTGAAATGGTCACCCAGGTGGGCTGGAGATATTGACACATGAGCGGTAGTTGAAGCCAAATGCTTGGATAACATTTTCGGAAAAATAATAAGTGCACAGTAAATGTCTGTTAATGAGTCCATAGTTATTACGGTTCCTTTTCTTTCTCTTCTCTGGTATCCTTCACATTTATTTTGGAGTTTTACTAGAGCCTCCAAGTCTTCTCTAGCTCTGAATGTCAAGATTGTGGCCTCATTAGGATCTTTTAGGGCTGGGCACGGTGGATTGCGCCAGTAATTCCAGCACTCTGGGAGGCCAAGGTGGGAGGATCGCTCAAGGTCAGGAGTTTGAAACCAGCCTGAGCAAGAGCGAGACCCTGTCTCTACTAAAAATAGAAAGAAATTAATGGGCCAACTAATATACATAGAAAAAAAATTAGCCGGGTATGGTGGTGCATGTCAGTAGTCCCAGCTACTCGGGAGGCTGAGGCAGGAGGATCGCTTGAGCCCAGGAGTTTGAGTTTGCTGTGAGCCAGACTGATGCCATGGCACTCTAGCCCAGGTGACAGAGTGAGACTCTGTCTCAAAAAAAAGAAAAAAAGGATCTTTTAGTTGTCCTATTCCTAGTACCTTAAAGCTCTTGCAGGCTGGCACTCAGACCATATTACCCCCATCTCTCACTCTTGTTTACTTAAGAACTTGGAGAAGAAAAGCTAGGAGGCCATTCCTAGTACATTGCTCTGGCTTCTATTGGATTTCTCTTCTCTCCCAGTAAAGTTCTCGAAAGTGTAACCTATATGTGCTAACAGTTGCTCATTTTCTAATGGTAACCCCTTGTAATCTGGTTCACACCCTGATCACTGTTCTGAAACTGCTCTCAAATATCACTAGTGACTTTCTCATTGCCAAATCCAATGCCTCCTCTCTCTGCACCTGTTGGCACCTAATATTAGAACCTCCTCCTTTGGCACTATTAGAACCTCCTCTTTAACAGTCTCTCCTTCTTTGGCTCTTGTGACATCCCATTCTCTTTGTCTCCTTCCTGCCTGTCTGGTGGATTCTCTGTCATTCTTTGGCAGTCCTTCTCCTCCCCATCCTCTACACACAGGGATTCCTCACTCTCTGTCCTCTGTGCACAGCCCTGTCAGGAGCTACCCTGTTCTCATGGCTTCAGCTCATCTTGCCCTAGAAGCAGCCACCTCCTGCTCTTTCTGGCTCTAACCCCTTTCCAGACCTCCCAGCTCTGAGCTTATCACCTCCTCTTTCTGTATCTCAGTCTGCTTACCAGGTTGGCTTCTCCTCTGGGCTTTCCTATGGCCACGAAGGACCCCATAGTCCTCCTGATCGCTAGACTTGAGACCCTGGACTGATCTCCGAAGCCTCCATCTTTCATTCATCATTTCAAGTTGGCCCCAAAGTTTTTTTCATTTTCTTTTGATTTTTCTGTACTCTCATTCATTTTCTGGGTTCCACTTTTCGCTGTTGCCACATGGATTTGGGCCTTCATCTCTTCATGCCTACATTATTGCAATCACTTTCTACCTAGTCTACTTACCTATTATGTCTCCTTGATTCAAACCATCTTGCTCAACTCCAGATTAATCTTCCTAAAATTCTGCCATGCCATTGCCTCTCCCTGCTCAAGAGCCTTCAATTGCTCTCCACTGCCTACAGAGACTCTGCCCTGAAAATGAACTAGTATAGTTCTATATTTACTCCAGGTTATTTCCCCCAATGCAAACACTATGCCTGGGGTGCCTGACCTTTAGCCCAGTTGTTCCCCCTTCCCTGTGAGGACTATTTGAAATGTACATATCCCTATATTAGGGCTTGTGGAGGTTAAACTAAGCTACAATGTCCAGTTTCTTTGCCTCCCCCTCTCTCCAGGGTTTATATCGATGCATGGTACATGGTAACACTGGTAATTGATTAGCAGTTAAATGTCTATGATGAACGAAAGTGGGGAAATAATTATATTCTTCCTTAATAAATGCTAAGGGGGCAGATTGGGGGGAAAAAGCCTCTCAAAACATGGATTCAGCTAATAAAAGAAGTCTTTGGTGATGAATAGGTTGGGAACCACTACCGTGCTCTCTAGTAAATGGAATAGTTTGACGCTGTTTCCCAAGCAGACTTGTATTTTCACGTCCCCGCAGGACTTTGCTATGTTGCTTGTTCTACTTTATTTTTTTTAATTAATTAATTTATTTTTTGAGACAGAGTCTCACTCTGTTGCCTGGGCTAGAGTGCCATGGCATCAGCCTAGCTCACAGCAACCTCAAACTCCTGGGCTCAACCGATCCTTCTGCTTCAGCCTTCCGAGTAGCTGGGACTACAGGCACGCGCCACCATGCTCGGCTAATTTTTTCCATACATTTTTAGTTGGCCAATTAATTTCTTTCTATTTTTAGTAGAGAAGGGTGTCTCGCTGTTGCTCAGGCTGGTTTCGAACTCCTGACCTCGAGAGATCCTCCCACCTCGGCCTCCCAGAGTAATCCTCCTAGGATTACAGGCGTGAGCCACCTCGCCCGGCCTCATTCTGCTTTAAATGCCCTCCCCACCACCTCTCGGTACCTGAATCTTCTGCATTCTTTGGGGTCCTTATGTCACTTCTTTCCTCCCACACCTGCTAGGAGCCCCCTAAGTAGAGTGGTCTTTCCCTTTTGCAGCCTTCAGCACCTCCCGCACTTCGCCGCGGGCTCCGGCCTTATCTTTCCTTCCAGAGGAGCCACTGCGGGCGGGATGATGTTGCGCGCATGTAGCACCCAGCCCCGCACCTGGCACTGGGGCACGGTGCACCACACGGGGATCGTGCAGAACGCTGCAGCCCTGTAGCCCCGGGAGCCCAGGCCTACTCCGCCCCGCTCTCCCGGGCGCCGCCTGCGAGGCCACTGGGCCGGTCCTGAATTCATTTCCACTTCATTAACTCGGCCCCAGTCCCGCCCCCGCGGCTCGCGCTCTCGTCCCCATCTCCGACACCACCGCCTCCCTTTTCTGCCTTCTCTCTTCCCCTGTCATCCTGCCAGCTCGGCTCCTATCGCTTCGCGTATCGTCTCCCCATCTCTCTTGCTCCGCGAGTCTGTCTGGGTCTCTGTCTTTGGGTGTTTCTCTCTGCGCCTCCATCTGTCTGGGGCTCCGCTTCCTTGCCCCCTACGCCCCGCCCCCTGCCCAAGCCCCTCCAATCCCGGCCGCTCCAGCCTGGCGCTCCACTCTCCCATTGGTCTGCCCAGAGCCCCCCGCCCCCGCCCGCCCGGCCCCCCTCCCGGCCCCTCCATTCACTCAAAGTTTGGCTCCGGCGCTGCGGAGGGAGGGGGCGGCCCGGCCCGGCCCAGCTCTGCCCCCGGCCGGCCCGACCCCGGCCCCGGCCCCTGGACAAGCCCTTATCTGATCCCAGCTCCGGGTTTAAGAGTCCCGGCCCTGCCTGTCGCACAGCTCCGCTCCTCACTCCTGCCCGCCCCGTCCGTCCATCTGTCCCGCTGCCCCGCGGCCCATCAGAGGGGCCACTCCACCTCCGACCCAAGGTAAGATCCTGGCCCCAATGAAGGAGTGCTGCCGCCCCGCCCGAGGTCCTGTCCTTCTAACTCTCTAGAGACATCGGGGCCCCCAGCCCCTAAGACCCTACCTTGGCTGGCCTCAGCAGTATGTCCTGTTCCCCTACTTCCCTGCCTTGGGCAGTCCCAAACGGAGCCTCCTGGGAAGGGCGCCCCATGAAGGCAGCTCCACCCAGGCTCGTCCCCTCAACCCTCCAATGTAAGGAAGGGGCTTTCCTGATGCCCCCTGCCACTGGGCAGACGCAGTTGCATCACCGCTCCTCTAGTTAATACAGTGACCACCACACATAGCCATGCATCCCTCACGCAGGCACGTCAGACATGCCCCCTCCCCCCAGTATTGACAGGTCAATTGACTCCCATGCCTGGCCCCTTCCCACCTCCCCATAGAGTGACAATCACACAGTGACACACACTGATCACTAGTTCACACACAGGGAGAAAAACAGATACTTGGCAGCTTAGATTAAGGAGACACAGTAGCCTGGTGTTCTTGGGACCCCTGCCCACCCAATCTCTTCCTTCCATTTGGACTTGGCTCCCACTTCAAGACACCCCTCCTGATTACCCTGCACCTGCACCGCAGCTATTTCCCACTGAGATCCTCACAAGGAAAGGAGCAGGGCCACTTCTAGAATGAGAATGGCAGATGGGGTTCTAAACATTCGCCCTCCAGACAGAGATGCCCCTTCCCGTTCCATCCCTCCCTCCACCAGGAGCTAACCAAGGGCACCTGTGTTAGGAAAGAGTCCAAGGTTGGAATTTCCTGATTTGGGGGAGGAGAGCTGAACGGCAGGATGGGTAGACGGACAACACTGGGAAGAAGTGGGGGTAGGTCTCCAGCAGTTTGAAGTTTCATTCCAGTAAATGAGTGCCAGGGCAGGGTGAGGCAGATGGGGTAGCGGAGATAGTGAAGAAGACGGTACAGATTTGAACGCAAAGGAGGCCCGTGCTTAAAACCTGGTTATGTTGCTAATCATTACAAATTCTGACTAAGGGTTTCTGGCCAGTCTGCTCTTGCTGTGGTGTTTGAATTTCTTTTCTCCCCACTGGGACTGCTTTAGGCAGCCTGGGTGGGAGGGAGATAATCATGGGAGATTTGGGGCACCCATATGAGAGGTGCCCCTTGTTTAGGGTTGCTGAGGAAGGCCTGGAGGACATATCAGGAAACCAGCCCTTGTGGGGGGCCAGCAGCCACCACCAAGTTCAGTTTAGTGTCATCCTGACGCCCTCTCCCTGATCTCCAAGGATTTCTGAACATGTTGCTGGCATGATGGTGGGCACCATGCTGAGCTGAGTGGTAGGGCTTGTTAATTCCTCAGAGTGTAGACTGGATATGGGGGACCAAGTCTAGAAGGAGCCAGGTGTCCTCGCTCTTGGCTGGTTCTTCAGGGAGGAGGAAATGGGGGAGGTGGGGGAGGGAAGGCGTCATGCCAGGGAGAGGGTCCAGGGCGGGCTTTGGAGGCAATAGGCATGGCCCTGGCAGTGCCAACTCCTTCCCCACCCCCCTGGTCCTTTGGTGGTGGTGAGGGAGGGAGGAGGGAGGGTGTGTTGGGGGTGATCTGGGCCGGTCCAGCCTCCCAAAGCCCTTGCCAACCTGGGTCCTGAAAGGAGCTGCTGTTTTCTGAGCCATCCCCCCACCCCCCACCCAGAGCCCGAGCAGCCAAGTTGTCTCAGCGGATATCAAATGGCAATGACTCCACTGACTGAGGGTGGGAGGGTGGGAGTGGCGGTGGGGGGGTCAGGGTTATGGTCCCACTCCGTTTGTGGCTTTAATGCAGAATCCCACTGCTGCCCCTGCCCCCGGGGAAAAAAAATCTGTCTCCCCAACATCTGACGCACCTCCAGTCTGTGGGTGCGTATATTTGTGGGAGGGTTAGTTATCCGCCCACTGGCATCCCCACCTCCTCTGTGTGCCCCACGGAACCAAGCCCTGTGGCCCCCACCTGTGCCACTGTGCATGAGCTCGTTTACAGCTCTAGCTTTGTTGGTTGGAGCTACAAGGGAACTGTCTGGCAGAAGACCCAGGGACCATTCTTCCCTCGTCCACCCTAGGGACCAGAGAGGCTGGGACACTCGGATCTGGGTGGGCTCAGATGAAGTCCTCTGGAGTCATCATCCTGTGATTGGTGGAAGAAGGGGTTTAGGGCCGTAGGGGTGGGCCGGAGCAGAAGGACCCATTTCCTTAAAAGAGACTCCTGGGTTTCCTAGCAAAATGCTTGGTTTCTGTACACAAAATGGGCAGCTAGGCCGAGCCCCTTGGCATTGGTGGGGAGAGAAAGAGATGGGCAATGGAGTCCTTAAACTTTCCTGCCAAAGATTATTTAGGACGGAAGAAAAAACCTCCACTCTCCCTCCCCTCCTCGGCCTAGATTCTTCTCTTGCCTGACTGGTCAGTGCTACTGTCCAGGCTGGGGCCAAGCTGTCCAGGGTAGCAGTGGGGCCCTAGAAGGGGCAGAGAGAAGGGATAATCCAAGGCACACCATTGAGAGGAAACTGCAGAAAGATTGGAGAGAAAATGGAGATTTGGAAGCTAAGTGTTTTAGCACCCAATGGAGGGTAGTTGGCTGGGGCAGCTCCTGGGATCGAGAGCTTTTTGAGTTTAGCGCATGACCTCGGTCTCTCCACTGGCTGAGTTCAATGCTTTTCCTCCTTGTCTGAGTTTGATCTACGTGTTGCCACCACTCTCTATGGAGAAAATGCATCCTGGGTGGCCCCTCTTCATCCCCTCCCCCCATCAGAACCTTGAAAGGGCAAAGAGAAAAGGATTGTGGGAAAAACCCTCCCGTGGGTGTCTGCCAGCTGGGAGCCTGGATTTGAGGTGGTGGGGGAAGGGAGGGCCGTGTCTGGAATGCGAGGGAGAAGTAGGCACGGAGCTGAGTGGCCTGGGGAAAGGTTGGAGAAGCAGGGGTTGAGAGGACTGAATGAGTTCTGGCCTCCAGAAAGATGTCGCACAGCAGGGACACACAGGCCCATCCTGCCACTCTTTCAATGGCAGGAGACCCCAGGAGAAGGGTTGAGGCTGCATCAGGGAGGACTTAGGGTAGTTTTCAAGAAGCACATCCAATAAAAGCAAAGACATTTGAAATGGAGATTGGGAAGAAAAGGGAGACCACCTGCTGGACCCAAAACTCTCTAAACCCCAAAACAAAAAAGCCCATCGTTAAAGTGGCCTTTCCAGGGTGGCTGGCACAACTCTCCCTTGCTGGCCCAGGGCGCCCTTCTGCTCTGGGAGACAGTAGGCGCAGTGGGTAAGAGCGCAGCCTTGGAGTCAGGCTCCCTGGGTTTAAATTCCAGTTCCACTTAGCTGAACAAGTCTCCTTATCCTTATGATGGGGCTAGCAATAGTTGTGAGGATTGACAGAGAATATTTGCAAAGGGCTTGGAATGGCGCTTAGCATGTAGAAGGTGTTTGGTGTTATGGTTCTCTTGCCTCTCTGACCCTCTACTCTGTCATCTTTCCCAGCCCTTCACTGTGGTTTTTCTGAGATTCTGTCCTAGGGCTCTATCCATCCACCCTTCTGCAGTTTGGGAAGGTGGAAGAATGATCTCGTAGTTTTGAAGGAGGCTGGGTCTCCACACCCACAGTCCCTGGCTTTCCATGAGCTTTTGCTAAGCAGATGTCCTGCCTTCAATAAAAATTTGAAAAATGTGAACTGAGCTGTTGAGCTTCCCCCAAACAGTCTCTTTCCCCCATTCTCAGCAACTTCCCTTGCAGCCAGACACTGGCTAATCTGCACTCCTCACCCTGCCCGCCACGGCCCTGCAGGTCTCTCCTCTCCTCCTCATCCTGCCTGGCCTGCTCCCGGCCCAGGTGTGCCCCACAACTTCTCCCAGGTTTTTGTGCCCTCCTCTCCTTCTGTCCCCTGATCTGTCGTCCATCCCATTGGCTGATGCCCACGGCAGCCTCCTTAACCACCTCCCTGATTCCAGCCCCTCTCTCTCGCCTCAACTCCTTCCCTTTACTCCACCAAGGAGTTATCACTGGAATTGTCATGAAGCAACCGTTTAATCTGCCCTTTCCCTACCCAGACACCCCTGTTGGCATTAGATAAAAATTTCCCAGTCACGATCTTCAAGAGACTTCTTGCCTTCCCCAATTCCTTCCAGCACCCCCATCTTTCGGGACTGTGCTCTTCAGACCCGGTAACTGGGGTGCAGATCCAACAGTAATCTCTGAGCCTCCTCTCACCCCTCCTGCAAATCTCCGTCCTCCTCTTTCCCTCTCTGCTCTGCCATCTTGCCTAGCCCTGCGTCTGTGACTTTGCCCAGGATGCCCCGTGCAGGGTGATGTCGGGGGGACATCCTGTCTCTCATTAGCCTGGGGGCTCCTCTGGGGTAGGGCCTGTGCCCCTGTCAGATTGGCAAAGGCATCTCTTCTCTCTCTGGACCCCTTGGCACTCAGCAAAGGGCCTGGCTCCTGGGACATGGTGGCTACTGTCCAGTTTCTCTCTAGGTAGGAAATTTCTCTGATTGCTCATTCTGGGGGAAGGATCCTGACTTTAGAAGTTTATGTGAGTATCCCAGAGCAGGGTGTCTATTAGATTCTAATATTCAACTCTCCAGGGAACCTCAAGAAAAACCCCTTTTACACCAACTGCCCCCTCCTGTGGGGATGGCGTCCCCCTAGATTATAAGCAGCAGACCCTAGAACCCCCAGTTTACAGTCCTCTAAACATTGTTGGCCCCCGCACGAGAAACCATGTGGGTCTCCTGCCCACGGAGTCTTTCTCTGCTGGCCAGAGCGGGCTGACTCCAGCCCGACGCTGGGCTTGTCGGCAGGCGTCTGCGGTGGAAAAAGGGGCGAGAGGTCAGAGTCTAGTCTGGGACAGCACCATTATCTTGAGCATATCTGATCAGGGGCTTGTGAAGTGGGAGACCTGTGGGGCCACCTCCCATGTGGGGTGTGGGTCTGACCTCTTCGTGCTCCATTCTTCCTGGACTGGCCCCCTCAGCTCCACCCCCGACCCCAGCCCCAGCTTGAGGAGTCAGGTGCTCACCTTCTCCTTGTGCCTAAACCTCCCAGTTGACCTTGTGATAAAAAAGATATGGGCAGTTGGCAAGAGGGGAGGGCGAATTTGCTGGAGTCTAGAGCAGTGGTTCTCAAACTTTTTGATCTCAGGACTCCTTCACCCTCTTAAAAATCACTGAAGACTCCCAAGAGCTTTTATTTATGAGGGTTCTATCTCTCAATATTTACCTTATTAGACACAAACACTGGGGAGGCTTAAAATAATTACTAATTCATTAAAAATAACAATAATAAACCTATTGCATGTTAACATAAATGATATATTTTAATGAAAATGGTTACACATTTCCCAAAGTAAACAACAAACAAAAAGTTTAAGAAGCGGAGTGCCATTGTCTTACATTTTCACAAATCTTGTTAATGTCTGGCTTTAATAAAAGATAGTTGCTTTCTCATCTGCTTCTGCATTCAATATGTTGCAATATCATCTGTCATGTGGCTTCTGGAAAACTCCGCTGAGCACTGTGGAATAATGAAAGTGAAAAAGCGGCAAGGCGGGGCGTGGTGGCTCACGCCTGTAATCCTAGCACTCTGGGAGGCGGGAGGATCACTCAAGGTCAGTAGTTCGAAACCAGCCTGAGCAAGAGTGAGACCCCGGCTCTACTAAAAATAGAAAGAAATTAATTGGCCAACTAAAAATATATATAGAAAAAATTAGCCGGGCATGGTGGTGCATGCCTGTAGTCCCAGCTACTTGGGAGGCTGAGGCAGAAAGATTGCTTGAGCCCAAGAAGTTGAGGTTGCTGTGAGCTAGGCTGACACCATGGCACTCTAGCCTGGGCAACAGAGTGAGACTATGCCTCAAAAAAAAAAAAAGGGGGGAGGGGCAAATAATGTTTTATAAACATTATTATGAAGATAGGTTTGACTTCAAAGAGTCTCTGTAAGGGTCTCAGCAACCCCAGTAGTGCCTGGACCACACTTTGAGAATTGCTGATCTACAGGAACCTCTGCAGACAATGTCAAAAAACCTGGGCCAATCTGATATCCTGGCTGAATATTTTTGCTAGGGAGGCAGTATGGAGCAGTGGTTAATTTCGTAAGTTCTGCCTCAGTTCTCCCACTCACTAGCTGTGTGGCCTTTGGCAAACTACTAACATTGCTATACTTCAGTTTTCTCATCTATAAAACGGGATTTTAAAAAAGCACCTACTTTTTAGAGTTGTTGAGAATTAAGTGACATAATACTAGAAAAAGGCTTAGCATACTGCTCCATGTTGCGAGCCCTTTTAAAATTCCAGAGCCTGGTCCCTGAGTCCACAGCCCATCTGCCCAGAGGCGGGGAGCTGCAGAGGTGATCCACCTTATTTTGCAGATGGGGGCTTGGCCCATAGAGGGAAAATGACTCGTACAAGTTTCTAGTGAAAGTTAGCAGGGTTGTTGAGCTGTGAACCCAGGAATTCTAACTCCTAGCCCTCTCTGTGCTCTCCCCATCAGACTCTCTGGGTGGGGAGTAAGGGCCTGAGAGGGGGAAGGGAGCAGAGCCTACCTTTCTGGAAGCAATCCCAGTGAGGCCTGCAGGGCGGCAGGAAGCCTGGAGGGCAGACCTTCAGGTCTTAGGAGAGGACTTCCTGACACCAACAGCAACTGAAAAGAGGAGGAGGAAAGCTGGGAAGACTGTCTTAAGCCCAGAAGATGTGTCTGTCTTGCCTCATGGGGAGCAATTCTGCAGAATACTCCACCCTCTCTCCTGGGGCTCACTGGCCCAGGGCAGAGGGGTCTGTGATTGGGTGACCCTGCTTCTCGTGTAGTGCCCTTCCCAGGTCATTGCCCTCCTCCCAGCCCTGCCACCACCCCAGGCCTGGCAGCACTCTCCCTCCCCTGGCCCTGGCCTTGGTGCTGTGGTGCCACAGGTCAGGACATGGTGCCTTGGTTGAGGCAGCTGGTGGCACCAAGGGTGTTAGGGAGGTTTCCTGGGCAGGAGAAGGGAAGCCTCTCCCTCACAGACTGGGGACAGGGAGGAGGCAGGCAGGTGGGGGAGACAGATGCACACACTGAGGACGAGCTGGTCCTGCTGGCTGGGCTCCAGCCAAACTCCCCTGAGCTGGGCGGCCAGCTCCGCCTTCGCCAGTGCAGGCTCAACTCCCTGGAAGAGCCCCTACAGGTGGGGACCCTTGTCCCTAATCGCTACTCCCTGCTTCCCCTGTAGTGGCTTCCACAGCCTCCAGAGCCGCAGCAGGTGGAGGTCTTTTGAGAGGATGGCGCCCCAAGGAAGCAGAAGCCCAAAGACCCCAAACTCTGAACACATACCCTTTCTGCTTAGGTAGGAGATCTTGCTATCTATTGCTCCGTTTTCCCTCTCCTACCCACACAATTCCCTTGAATAGATGACAAAACTGAGGCAAAAAGTGGGTGGACCTCGACTGCCCACCCATTTCTTTCTAGAGCCCAGCCTGGGACCAAGGGGCCTGGCCACCCACAGCCCGTCCCCATTCGTCCCTGCCAGTCCCTGTGGCTGTTTCCATCTGGCCAGTGGCAGGTTTGGGGGCCCTAGTCTAGTCTCCTCCCCTGTCTCCTGGGCAGTGCCCTCAGGGAGGCTCTGTGGGCTGGCTCTCCTCAGCCTCAGCCCCGCAGCCCCCCTCGCCCTCTGCTGCAGCCCCCCAGCTCCCGCCCCTGGGCTGTGGGACAGGGAGAGGGCTGAGGGGCTGGCTCTGCATGCTAATGCCCTGCCCATTGTCAAAGCCCCTTTGTGCCAGAGAGCTCCATTGAGGCGGCTCTGGGGCGGGCACAATGGGGGCTCTGTCCCCTAGTTCCCCCAAACAGTCACCTGCTTTCAGAGCCTCCCCACCCCCCTCGCCCCAGTGTCCGGAGGGCCCAGAAAGCACGGGGGTGGGGGGAGATGGGGGGGTGAGGAGGTGGGCCCAGAGCCAGGGGGGATGGGCAGGAGTTGACCCCCCCACTGCCTGGGCAGGCTGTGGAGGGCACATGGAGGGGAGGGGAGAGGCGCCCGGCTCCCGGGGCGGGGCAGTCCATAGCCACAGCTGGAATGCAGGTTCTGTGAGGCCTGAGGAGGGGAAGGGGCACTCACAGCCTGCCCACTCCTCGGTTCCATGTGCCCGGCTTGGGCCTGTGGCTGCCCACCTCTCCTCCTCCTCCTACCACGGGGACGCCCTTGCGCTCAATATGCAGAGACACACAGGCACACGCTCATCTATGCAGCTGCACACGCGGCTCCCCACACACATGCCAGCGGATGTGCTCAGACACAACATGCCGGCCCAGGCACACGGCCCCGCACGCCCACGCCACGGTCCCCAGCATATGCGCCTGCACACCTGCCCTCCGCCTGCCCTGCTCCTTTCCCTTACGCACCCCCTCTGGCAGCCACGGGCAGGCGGCTCAGCGCCACCTCCCCCCATGCCCTGGCTGCCCTCTGCTGCTCCGACACAGGTTGTAACAAGTTTGCACTTGTTGTGACCTCAAGAATGTGGCCCTGGGGCGGGGAATGTCCCGCTGCCTCAGACCACACCTGCTCACACCTGCTTATACGTTAACCATGTTAACCGCAGCTGCACACCCTCTGCTGAACTCTGAGTGCGGCGCCCCCATCCCCGCCCCAACCACGAGGGAGGTAGGGGGGCCAGGACTTGTGCCCCAGAGCTGGACGGAGCTTCCTGTGAATACCTAACCCCCCACCTGGCCGAGCCCAGGTCCGATGTGACCCAGGGTACATAGGTATCTCCCAGCCCCTTCCGCCTGTGAGGTGGGTAGGACAGTTACCATCTTCCCAGCAAGACTCTGCGAGGGGAGGTGACGTGCCCAGGCAGTTGATGGCAAGGCTGGGACTAGAATGGAGGCCTCTTCCCTTTAGGTTTTTATTCTTTCCACTGTCTGTCTCTTGCTGTCCCTGAGATGACCCCACCTCACCCCGTGTGCAATTTTAACAGAGCTAGCTTTACCTGCCTTCCTTGGAAGGAGTGGCGGCACGGTGGGGAGAAGCACAACAGGTATAGAGACCTTAGATAGGCTTCTGGGTCTAGAAAGAACCTCCCAAGGTTGACCCTTTCACTTGCTTGACCCTTGCTTGACCCTTTCACTTCCTGTAGGCAGGGTGAGCCTACCTCCTTTCATTTCCTACCCTCCCACCGACCCCACTCCTGCTACTGACTCGGGATCACTGGAGAGAGTAACCCCTCAGCCTTCTTGGCTAGGCTATAGAGTTGAGGTCTCTACCAATCACAAGTCCTCTGTGATGCCTTGCTCTGGCCTTCCCAGCTAATATCCTGTGTCTGTACATGATCCGTATGGGGTGTCTATGCCTCTCCTGCTCTTCTGGTCTGTAGCATCTTCAGGCAGCCTGGAGCAGATGCCCTAGGAAGGGAATAGATGGGGGCCCTCTGGGATCCCGGGATGACTGCACAATGGGGTGCTGGGACCTGGGAGGTGGAAGAGGTCACAGCGGCAGAGACTCCGTTAGATGGAGAGCTAAGCTGATACTGGCTCGCTCACTGGCAAGTATTATTGAGTGCTGATCTCTAGGATGTTTCTCCTACATCAGAATTGCACAGAAGAACCTCTGGGTCCTTCTACTCCTTCTCCCTATCCCTTATGTAGAACGCTCCCCCTCTGACTACAGGGCTCTCCTAAGGCTGCCTCATCCATGTGTCTTCCTTCGTGCAGGAAGAAACCTCCCCCAGCCCTTGTACCCTGGTGTGAGTCTTCTGCCTCCAAATGTCCCCTGTTGGAGAAAGAGGTCTGCCCAAAATGTAACTTCAGCCCCTTGCTGTACTGGGGCTGTTAGATACTGTAAGAGACAGAGGACAGTGAGATGCCCACTTCTGGGTCCAGTTCTGCATCTAGCGCCATTGTGCCATCCCTACCCACTCCTTCTCCTCAGTGAGGATGTGGATATAGAATAAGTGGAGGGTGGGGGAGGGTTGAGAGCTTGCCTCCTGGGGTGATGGGGAGCCCCTTAGATGTCTCTGTGTTAGAGTCAGAGGTTGCCTGGAACAAGAGCCTTGAGAAGGAAGTTGAGAGGACACCTGTCAGGGAAGGTGGCTCAATCCCCTGAATATGATTATAGGAACAGAGTACCTGTGGGTCTCCATCTCCACCAAGGGTACAAAGAAGAAATTGCTTAGGTAGCAGCAGGTAAATTTTGATTTAACTGGAAGAATTTCCTAGGCATAAGCAGTAGTACTAGGCGAAGGGGAGGGCCAGGAAGAGGTGGAGGGCTCACTCTCCCTGACAATAAGGAGAGCCCCCTGCCCCTTTGGTCACCTATTGAACAAGGTCTGGGTGGCCTGGGAGATAGTTCCAAAGACTTTCAGTGCCCCGTGGGCTGTGGGGTTTCCTATGGTCTCAAAGGAACTTCCTTGACCATTTTCACAGCCTCAAGCGAGGGCATCATTGAATCTGTCCCCTGGTGTGGACCTCACCATTTGCTGTTTATTCTAACTCTTCTTACTGCCCCAGCTGCTGCAGGGGTGAGGGAGACCCCTGAGACCTGCTGGGTGGGAGAGCCAGCTCCAACACACGAGGGGCCACGGCCAAGGCTGGGTGGGGAATGAGCTCCATGGTAATGCTCCAAGGTTGGCTCCACACCAACTGGCCCTTCAGGACCCCGGGGGCAAGAAAAGGATCTCGTAGGAAGAGAGAAGTTGGGATGAAGAAGAAGGCCAGGGTTATTGCTCCGATTCTGATATTTAATAACAAGGGCTATTGGCTAGCTGTGTGATTCTGGGAAAGTTAGCCACATTTTCTAGGCTTTGGCTTCCTCATCAGTAGAATGGGATGACCATGGAGGGTCTCCTGGCGCGAACATTCTATGACACAGTACAGTAGCAAGATGGCAAGCACAGGCTCTGGTTTACGCAGGTCTGGCTTCCATTTGCAATGCTACTTCTTGTGAGCAGTCCTCCAGGGCAAGTTAGCTGACGTCTGTAAGTCTAGTGTCCACATCGTTAATACGAGGGCTGCACCTGTTACCCACCTCCCAGGGATAACAGGATGAAGAGCTGCATGGACACTCAGCACGATGCCTGGCACACAATGAGGGAAGTCCCTGGCACCGTGGGAACACCGATATCCATGCATGCAGCCCACACAGGGGGCGGGAGCACCCAGGAAGGCTTTCCAGAGAAAGTGACATCTAAGCTGAGTCTTCAAGGAGGAGTAGAAATTAATCAAGCAAAGTGGGAGGGGAAGAGTGTTCCATTATTTGCAAAGAACTGTTGCTAAGAGAAGGCGTGATCTGTCCAAGAACTAAGAGAAGTTTAGTGTGGCTATGGTGCCTGTGCGCAGGGGGTGGGGAGAGGATAGAGAACACTGATGCTGGGAGGTCAGTGGGGCCAGATTTCAAAGGACTCTGTTCCACCTGTCATTCTCAGGGCTTCCTGAGAATGGTGGTCCCTCCACTTCCTCTCCAACCTCTTTTTTTCTACTTTTCTTTATTCCTGTCTCCCAAGACTCATTCCTCTTGTCCTTGGTCACCCGGGCACAAGGAAGCACTGGGCTCCCCTGGAAGGACCTGGCCAGTCCAGGGAGAAGCTTTAAGTTCAGAGATCTCTGACTCTGGGCCAGTTTTTGGCTCAAGCCTGAACTTTCTGCCTCTCTCCTTTCTCACCATGAGAGAGGGATCTCCCTCCCACAGAAGACTCCGGACTTCTAGCACTGAGGAACTCCTGCTGAGCGTTGTGTGCCCACTGCGGGCCCCGGTTTCCCCATCTGTCCCTGTCACTGTAGAGAGTAGGGAGGGTGTTGATTGGTGGGCGCTGAGGGCAGCATGGAGTCAGGACCCAGGGACAAGAGAAAAGACTGCTGAGGAGACTGAGTTAGCGCCCCCAGGTGTCCGAAAGTTGAAACTTCAATGGGAAGCTCGGAGGAAAGGCTTCCTGAAGATGAACCCCGTTGCGTTGCGCGCTTTGCAAACAGGGCGGGAGGGAGGAAAAAGCGATGTAAGGCGCTTCTAAGTCAGAAATAGCAGGCACTGAGAAGGACACAAAGATAAACAACATAAAAGTTAAGAATCGGTTCAGAAGAGATTCTCCTGTTTGGGAAGATGGGGATTGTCCTCCCTGGAGGGAGTGGGGTTTGTAAAATAACCCTTGAGGACTGGGCTTGGTGGCTCACGCCTGTAATCCTAGCACTCTGGGAGGCCGAGGCGGGCGGATTGCTCAACCTCAGGAGTTCGAAACCAGCCTGAGCAAGAGTGAGACGCCCATCTCTACTATAAATAGAAAGAAATTAATTGGCCAACTAATATATATAGAAAAAATTAGCCGGGCATGGTGGCACATGCCTGTAGTCCCCACTTGAGCCCAGGAGATTGAGGTTGCTGTGAGCTAGGCTGACGCCACGGCACTCACTCTAGCCTGGGCAACAAAGCGAGACTCTGTCTCAAAAAAAAAAAAAAGAATAAATAAATAAATAAAATGACCCTTGTGGCCGCTGCTCCTGGGGTGCTTCCACACTGGGGGTGACTCTTCTGCCTCCCCTTTCCCCACACTACTTCTCAGAGCCTCCACCAACTAGTCCAAGCCCTCCCTCACCGGTAGCCAACACAGCCTCTAAGTTCAAAGACATAAAGTGTGTAGAGAAGGCCTTGAGCTGGGATCTGGTCCGCCTCCCTGTCTTCTCTCAGGTGGAGAAGGCTGTCTGGCCTGGGACCCCAAGGAGCAGGTCCCATCATCCCCTCTCTAGTTTCCCAGGCTCTGGTGGCAGATCAGATGACAGCTCAGTGGCTCACTGGCCTCCTCACCCCAAGAACCTTATCTCCTGGGGCTGGGCCATCCTAGGCCTTGAGAAGGCTGTCAGCTGCCCAGAGCCCCTGAGGCCGGGGGCAAGTGGGACAGTGAGGGGCCGAAGGTCAACATGAAAGGAACTTCTCTCTGTTCAGCATCCTCAACACACACTCTCCCACCCCTCGGCAGGTTGACAGGGTTTGGGAGGAACTACAGGGAGGAGGGATGAAGACTAGTTGGTTGGAAGCCGCTCCAGTTCTGGGCCTATAGTACGTCCTGCTCTGCCGATCAGCAGTACCTAGAGGGAGACGTAGGGAGCAGATTAGTGTGAGCAGCATGGAGCCCACCAGGGTGTGCAGACGCAGGAGGGAGAGAAAAGCCCACAGGACTTGGAGACACGGGTTCTGGCTGTGCCATTAAATAAATGCCAGCAAGTGACTTTGCCTCTCTCAGCCTTAGTTTCTCTAATTCAGTAGATATTTTTCCTTTATGGGCAAAGTAGGATAATAATAATATCTTTATTTGCATAAAGGCCTTACAGATTTCACATACTTTATTTCGTATTATCCTGACTACACAATGGAAGGTTTTATTGCTTCCTTAGATGAGGAAACTGAGCCCTGGAGAGATGAAGAGATTGACCAAAGTTCCCATAGCTAGTAAATGACACAGACTAGGATGGCACATGGTGTGAAAGAAGAATAGATAGGGACATTTGGCTGTGACCCAGGCATGCCAGGATAACAAATTAGGTTTCTTTTGTTAGGCTAATTCAATTTGGTTGAAAATGGCTCTCTGTATTGCCACGTGGAGAAAGATTCTGAGGCTCAGTTAAAACAAAAGTACTGTGATGACTTAGTGCTATCTGCTAAGTGGCAGGTATGTGTGTGAGTGAGGACTTAAATGCTGTAGGGTTGACAACATTAGTCCAGAATCTCCCAGAGGCTTCAAGTCTAGTCCTTCTTCTATACTCATCAGCTAGGTTAAATTCAAAGGTGCTGGCTCAAAATGATGGCTGAGATAAAGTCTGTGCCTTTGAAGAGCTCACAGTCAAAGGACGGTGCAGCAAAATGTCCCAGGAACATAGAGGGAAAGTAAATTTTTCCACCTGGGAGCCTAGGGAAGGTGCCACAGTGGAGAGGACGTTGGGACAGGGCCTTGGGGATGAAGAGGATTTGAAAGGAAGACAGCAGGCCAGGCGGGGAGCGGGCAGCAGGGAGCATCCTGGGTAGAGGCAGATGCCTGAGCAAAGGCCTGGAGACAGGAAGTGGAGCACAGGCCACCAGATTCCACATGGCTAGAGTGTGGGCCACACACAGGGGACTATCAAAGGGGAGGCTGTGAAAAGTCAGGTGGAGTCAGACAGCGAAGGATTTTGAATGCTATGCCCAGAAGTTTGGGTTTCACCATGAAAGCCATGGGAGCTCGTTGAAGAACGTGTAGCTCAGCAGATGGGATGATGGGATGAGTGCTGTAGAAAGGCACTGTGGCCGCTGAGGGCATAGGGGACAGGAAGGTGAGTTTGGGGGCAGGTGGAGCAGGAGATCACTGCAACATTTCAGGTGAAAGAGAATGCGAGGCTGAGCCAGGGCAGCCTCAAAGGTCATGGGGAGAACTTGCAAAGGCAGAACGGGTGGACCAGGTGACCAGCTGAATGGGGGTGAGAGAGAAAGCAGGGGTGACTCTAAGGTTTCTAGCTTGGGCACCCAAATGGAGTGTAATTCTGTGAACAAGAAGGGAAACACAAAAGAGACTCCCTTTTGAGAAGAGAGGACACTAGTCTGAGCACATTAAAATTGGAATGCCCCAGAGAGAGGGAGCGGGTAAGTACGGGGACACACAGGGCAGGGGTGCGGTGGAGTCCATGGGGTGCTGCAATGGTTGAGGAAGAAGAGTGGTCAGGGATGAAGGTCCAGGTGGATTCCTGAGAAACATCAAGATTTAAGGGGCAGAGGAGAGACCACAGCGAGACACACAGGTCTAAAGTAAACGGAGAATTAGAGAGAACCTGGAGAACGTGATGTCAGAAAGTGACAGTGAGACTGTCCACCCACCACAACTCTTGCAGCGTTCTGACACACACGATCCCATTTAGCTCTCCCAACACCTTTGTGTTATTGGGCCATTTTTGCAGATAAGGGAGATGGAAACTCAGAAGCTTAAGTGATTTGCCCTAAATCACAAAGCCTAGAAGTGGCAGAGCCACTTAAAGGCTAATCAAGGTCTACAAAACCAGTGGATTCCCACCGGTGGCCACTCTGACATGCGGCGGACAGACTGCCGTGGTGGAGGGCTGAAGAAACGCCCTGGGATTTAGTGATTGGAAGGGCAGCTGTGATCTTAAAGAAAGTTCCCGTGGCTTTAACTGCCCCCACGGCTGTGTAGAGCCAGCGGAATTGTTCTGAATTTGTCCAAGTGCCCCACATTTTGAAGGTGGTCGTTACTATTATTTTTATTGTTATTACGTATTATTAGGTAGCAATATTTGATATTGCCGATATGGGACCCATTTTTTAAAATTGGCAATTTCTTATGGTTGAATCTGATATTAAACGGAGTGGACAGGGGTGGGGATGGGCCGGGGAGTCCCTGAGACAGGGCAAGTTGCAGGGCAAGGGCAGCCGCGAGGCCCTGGAGAGCCCTGCCCCCTGGTGGTGGGGAGGTAAATCTTCAGCCCCGGGCAGAGAGCGGCAAACAGCTGGTGATGCTTGCAATTTGGGAGTCCGCTTTGGCCTCCAGGGCTTCCCCACCACCCATCTGCAGTCTTGCCAACCCCCTTTGCTGGAAACTCAGAGACTGGAGTGGGGGCGAACTCTCCCGAGGGGCTGTGTCTGGAAGAATACTTCTCATAGCTAAACTAGGATGATCCCCTCAACCAGTATCTCTGGAGATAAGTTGGGCATAGATTTCCCTGATGGAGAATCTCGGGGGCCTAGGCCAGGCGGTGCCTGGCTGGAGATGCGGGACAGAGCTGACGCATGAAGAAGGGGTCCTGAACACACACGTTGTTCATCACTCAGTTTCCCCCTAACCCAGCCCAGACCCTCTTGAGATTTTTCCCCAGTGTCCTTGGGGGACCTTTTCAGGATCTCATGTCTTAATGATAACAATAGGATAACAACAGCAGCAGGAGTTACTCCCATATGTGCCAGCTGAATCTTAGCACTGATAATGATTTTTCTGGCTCTTCAGTCAAGATGAGGAGGGATGGGTTCAGGTCTCTAAGCACAAGTTCTTCTGAGCTGAGGACCCAGATGTGGCCATGCTCAGAGCCTCTCAAGAGTGCTGGGGCTGGAGAGACATGGGACACCCTGTGTCCTCGGTTGAACTCTGTAGTGCCAAGCTCCCCACAAAGCACCAGCTCCCCCCCCCCAGCCCAGGATGTGCAGCCCTGCTGGCCCAGATGACAGCTAAGAGCAGCCTCTGTGACAGGGTGATGACTCAGGGAGGCGGTGTGATGGGCAGCATGGAGGGGTAGGGAGGGCAGGTGCATCAGAGAGGCAGTTCCTATCTGCTGCCTGAGCTGGGAAGTCATCCTCCCTCTCCAGCCAGGGAAAGAGGGGGTCCCAGAGATGCCAGCCTCTGGGTAGATCTCTGCAGGGACACTGTTTTCTTCTTACAGGGGACAGAAGGCACTGCCTGGGGATTGGGGTGGAGGAAGAGGCAATGGTCCTAGTCAGCCCACACTGACAGGCAGGGTCGTGACTGAACAGAGAACGTCTGACTTGACCCTCCCTCTCTAGACTGGAAAGCACACAGGGGGTCAGAAGGGCCAAACGGAGGTTACAGGCTCCCAGGAAATGCTTTGAAGGCTTTTATCCTTTCTTTTGATCAGACTATGAGAACTTTCCAAACGTTGACTTAAGGGAAGAAAAGCCTATTCATCCCTGGGCCAGGGCCTCGGTGTCAGGCTGGGGCTAGAGGACAGGGAGGGGAAGGGGAAGGAGACCAGAGAGCAAGAGACAGAGGCAACAGTGATTCAGCTGGAAAGTCAGCCCCAGGACACACACACACACACACACACACACACACACACACACACACACACTGCCCATTTTTTCCCCTACCTCAAGATTTATGTGCATCTGGCTCCATTTCATTTGTTTATTTTCCTTGGGGCAAGACAGGAGGGAGATTAATGAATGAGGGCATCAAGTTTGAAAAGAACCTTAATGAATAAAGACATCAAGTTTACAAAGAATGGCAAACCCAGCTCCATTCTTCTCCCAACCTTGAGGGCTTACATAATCCTGCAGTGCTTTTCTTCCTGCCCCTCCTCTCATACCCTCTCCTTCCTCTTCTCTTTCCCCGTCTCTCACTGAGAACACTTGGAAGCCCAGAAGTGCTTCTTTTCCATCCCAATGCATCTGATCTCCTTCTGGAGGCCTTGGAGGTTGCTATTCAAGTTGGAATTGGT